TCGTTATCGAATGCAAGCGTTTCCTTTAAATCAGTGACCGTGTCAGTAGCGCCTGTCAAATCTGTACCTGCATCACGATGGATCATGTTACTGTTGTGCAACATTTGGTGCTGTTGCAACAACTGTCATATCAACTTGTGTCAACCTCCTTAAGCCATCACAATGAGTGCAGTCGTTCTGCATCTCGGACAAAATCGGTTATGCACTTCCAGTTTCAGTTCTGGCTGGGAATCATGCATGCATTGTAACTATTAAATAGGCATGCATTCACGCGCCCATCTGCATTTTGTGATTTAGAATGCAAGAAGGCTGCCTGCATAAGGAATATGCATCTACATGCAGTAATGTCTGAGAATGAGATTGTACACACCCAAATAGCATTCGAGGCATCGGATTGTTTATTGAGGCTGGTACACTCCGCTCATGCCATATCCTGGCCGCATGTCTGGTGGCTTTGCACTTTATTTTAAGGCACAGCAGAGAGAGCGTGCACGAACACTGACACGGTGAGGCCTATGGGTGTCTCCTTTCTCACGGCAGCACATGCTCGATCATGTCCGTGCAGCTGAGCCTCTGCACGCATGAAAAATGCTCCGAGTTCTAGGCGTGAATAGTGTTCCACAGAGTTCAGAAGTACCTCAAATACTGTTAAAAAGGGAGTCTGTCTTACAACAGTTGCCTTGACACTGCGCACTCCATCATAATCATGTTGTTCACAATGTTCCATTTTAATATTGATAACAATCGTATCAGTGAGAATGGATTAGGACCGTTCATTGTGAGACTTTCTAGTGTAATGTTACATTCCGGGGGGAGTGGTTTTGTTTTCTTTCAGCAAAGATTGTGAAATGCTATTCTCTTATTTGTCTGCTGCATGGTAAAGTAGTTTAGAAATACACAATTTATCCCTAAATAGTGCAAATTAGTGTCAAGTACAAAGTGATATTACAACCCACGCCACTAGTGAGCTTGTAACAGTCATAAAACCTGGACATTTTAAGAGTTATGCATGTTTTTTTTTGTAGATAATCAAGTTGTATACCGTAATTACTCCAATGTCTGTGCATTTGAAATGTTTTAATTTAAAATTTAATTTCAAAATGGCTAATAAAACTAACAAACCAATGAACCCTTTACACATTTCTGGGGTTTTTAGAAGTGGAAGTTGCCACAGTTGGGTAAACATCTGTAGTGGTGAACAGAAAATAATTTTTGCATTCACATTTGTTTCGATAGCAAAAGAACAAATCCACAATAGCATTTCTGTGACTTTACGAAAGAGGAAAAAATATCAAGAGATTGATTATGATGGTCAGAAGAGAGAAAGATGTCAAATTTGCAGTAAAACTCTCAGCCGTTGTAGTAGTAGAAACACTCATGCAGCAACGTTAACTAGTTTTCCGTAATTGTATGCCAAAATAGAATCTAACTACATTATTAAAAAATGAAAATGTAAAGAACTTTGTGTCATCGTCGTAACAGTCACATTTCACCTCTGTAGCTAATTTCTTATTGGTTAAACTGTTGGTGTTACAACACACCTCGTCTTACAACACTGGGCTCCCCAATCCAAACAACTATGCAGTTTGGCCTTTTTGTTATAATTAACCTCATAAATATCTCTGATTCGTTGGCTTTCCGCTAGTTACAAGCTCTTTGCTCACTGACCACACATTGTAATTCATTCACTCGATTCGGGTATGGATGGGGATGTTTGGTACAAGCCATGCTTTTAAGAACGTGTCCCAGTGACGGAATTTCCCGCATGGCCCGTGCATTTGCTGTAAGCCCCGCATGGAAGAGGAAAGGCCTTATATGGTAGCGGAAGTGGGTGTGGCCAACGGGACAGTAGGTGATCACAAGACTTCAGCTGAAAGCGAATGTGTTCCATACTTCATGTACGAGTGAACTACACTGTTTTGTGCGTTTTGATTCGCAGGCGCGTGCAATAATAACGAAATCGCGTGCAATTATTTCGAAAAACGCCTCGCCATTTTGTCAAAGAAGCCCTCCATGTTCATTTCTCCGCCACCTGCAGGATCCTCACATGCGATAGCCTAGTAGCCGGGACAACTTCTTTATGTTTACAGACGTGACGTAATGACGCAGCGCCATGCTCGAATTTCCCACGAAAACCTACCCATACCACTCAAATTAGAAAACATTATTATAAGATGACCGTTGTGAATCTGGCTAAAGTAAGGCGATAGTTTCGAACACTGGCTGGTTATGTACTCGCTCAAATATTGATTAATTTTTAACCAAAAAAAGTTACGGACTGCAGCTTTAAGCTATGCACATTAACATTTAACAACATCACAACAATAATAAGCAGATTCACTGTAACTTCATGTTAGTTCCCAGTTAGTCATTAGAATCTAATTTAACTTTGTTTCATTAAATAATACAGTTCTTTTTAATCTTATTTCACTAATCGCAACATCGCGTGTGTGTTTACTTTGGACACTAGTGCAAATCTTTACCAAGCGGTTATGGGGTCGTTTAAGGAAGGTCTATTTTTTTTTACAGAACTTATTTTAAAGCACGCATGACATTAGGATTGGAGTTTACTGGGATTGAACTCTACGATGTTTTTATATGTGGTCGTAAATGTGCCTCGTTCATTAAAAGGTGTCTTTTGTATTGAAGGTGCAAGAGAAAAATTACATCACTGTGCAATTTGCAGCGGGTGGCGCTCTTCTTACCAACGAGGAAGTGACGCTACAAGCAAAGGCTTCAAGTTTTTTTCCCCCTTTTATTTCTTGAAAGCAACGCGAAAAAGATCTGGATCGCTGGATCTACGCCGCTGATGGTTTTAGAGGTAACCTAATGCGCAATAAGTATTTTCCAACTAGATCCAGTTCGAATGTATTTCCACTCTTAAAACATAGATTTATGGTGAGTTTCTGCAGGACGTCGAAAGAAGACCTTGTCTTGGAGAATGAATTCGATTGGGTGGTTCCGTACTTTTGACAGAAACTATTAGATGCGCTTTTATCAGTGTTACGAGTGGCGAACTGTTCCACGTAAATAAATTTTTTTGCATGAGCGCAGCGCTGCAACTACACATGTGAGCGACGGAAAGCGCTTATCAGAAGAACAGCTGTGTTGCAAAGTCTAACGATTACTTCTCTCGTTATCGAATGCAAGCGTTTCCTTTAAATCAGTGACCGTGTCAGTAGCGCCTGTCAAATCTGTACCTGCATCACGATGGATCATGTTACTGTTGTGCAACATTTGGTGCTGTTGCAACAACTGTCATATCAACTTGTGTCAACCTCCTTAAGCCATCACAATGAGTGCAGTCGTTCTGCATCTCGGACAAAATCGGTTATGCACTTCCAGTTTCAGTTCTGGCTGGGAATCATGCATGCATTGTAACTATTAAATAGGCATGCATTCACGCGCCCATCTGCATTTTGTGATTTAGAATGCAAGAAGGCTGCCTGCATAAGGAATATGCATCTACATGCAGTAATGTCTGAGAATGAGATTGTACACACCCAAATAGCATTCGAGGCATCGGATTGTTTATTGAGGCTGGTACACTCCGCTCATGCCATATCCTGGCCGCATGTCTGGTGGCTTTGCACTTTATTTTAAGGCACAGCAGAGAGAGCGTGCACGAACACTGACACGGTGAGGCCTATGGGTGTCTCCTTTCTCACGGCAGCACATGCTCGATCATGTCCGTGCAGCTGAGCCTCTGCACGCATGAAAAATGCTCCGAGTTCTAGGCGTGAATAGTGTTCCACAGAGTTCAGAAGTACCTCAAATACTGTTAAAAAGGGAGTCTGTCTTACAACAGTTGCCTTGACACTGCGCACTCCATCATAATCATGTTGTTCACAATGTTCCATTTTAATATTGATAACAATCGTATCAGTGAGAATGGATTAGGACCGTTCATTGTGAGACTTTCTAGTGTAATGTTACATTCCGGGGGGAGTGGTTTTGTTTTCTTTCAGCAAAGATTGTGAAATGCTATTCTCTTATTTGTCTGCTGCATGGTAAAGTAGTTTAGAAATACACAATTTATCCCTAAATAGTGCAAATTAGTGTCAAGTACAAAGTGATATTACAACCCACGCCACTAGTGAGCTTGTAACAGTCATAAAACCTGGACATTTTAAGAGTTATGCATGTTTTTTTTGTAGATAATCAAGTTGTATACCGTAATTACTCCAATGTCTGTGCATTTGAAATGTTTTAATTTAAAATTTAATTTCAAAATGGCTAATAAAACTAACAAACCAATGAACCCTTTACACATTTCTGGGGTTTTTAGAAGTGGAAGTTGCCACAGTTGGGTAAACATCTGTAGTGGTGAACAGAAAATAATTTTTGCATTCACATTTGTTTCGATAGCAAAAGAACAAATCCACAATAGCATTTCTGTGACTTTACGAAAGAGGAAAAAATATCAAGAGATTGATTATGATGGTCAGAAGAGAGAAAGATGTCAAATTTGCAGTAAAACTCTCAGCCGTTGTAGTAGTAGAAACACTCATGCAGCAACGTTAACTAGTTTTCCGTAATTGTATGCCAAAATAGAATCTAACTACATTATTAAAAAATGAAAATGTAAAGAACTTTGTGTCATCGTCGTAACAGTCACATTTCACCTCTGTAGCTAATTTCTTATTGGTTAAACTGTTGGTGTTACAACACACCTCGTCTTACAACACTGGGCTCCCCAATCCAAACAACTATGCAGTTTGGCCTTTTTGTTATAATTAACCTCATAAATATCTCTGATTCGTTGGCTTTCCGCTAGTTACAAGCTCTTTGCTCACTGACCACACATTGTAATTCATTCACTCGATTCGGGTATGGATGGGGATGTTTGGTACAAGCCATGCTTTTAAGAACGTGTCCCAGTGACGGAATTTCCCGCATGGCCCGTGCATTTGCTGTAAGCCCCGCATGGAAGAGGAAAGGCCTTATATGGTAGCGGAAGTGGGTGTGGCCAACGGGACAGTAGGTGATCACAAGACTTCAGCTGAAAGCGAATGTGTTCCATACTTCATGTACGAGTGAACTACACTGTTTTGTGCGTTTTGATTCGCAGGCGCGTGCAATAATAACGAAATCGCGTGCAATTATTTCGAAAAACGCCTCGCCATTTTGTCAAAGAAGCCCTCCATGTTCATTTCTCCGTGGTTTCGTTTGCACAAGGATCTATCTCTTGACTTGAATATTACTGGAGTGAGGTCAGCATTGCATGACTCAGTCGTGGATAAGCATGCAGTCATTTCTCTGCTGTTGCATTGGACCTTGCAGCTGTTCTTAGGGTGACCTGAAAATAACAAGTATGGTAAGGATGATTTCTAAACGCCTGATAATATTTAGGACTGTTTAGCAAATCGAAATTATGCAATAGATATCATTATCAAGTTATAGCAGAATGTTCGAGCGTGCGCTACGTGTGGCTGTTACTCTCTTGTAACACTGAATGCATGAACTAACTTGCGCACGAATTACATTCACCTGAGTTGACAACTAGGAAGGGACAGCAGGGGGGCTTGTCATTTACCACTTTCATTATTTTGCTGCTCAGGCATGCTTCATGGGGTGTATTGTTGTCTCACTTTGTTGCAGTGTGACACGGAATTAGTGACTGGATAATCCCTTTTCTGCAACAAAGGACTTCTGGTAAATAGCGCTAAGCTGGCTTCACTAGGAAGGGGGGTCCAGGAAGGGCACCCAGTTAGCAAACACTCCGTGTCTCAAAATATATTGAGCTGTTTACCCAGACAGCTTTTTGAGGGGCTTGTATGCGCTTTTCGAACGCAACGCGGGCGTCATGCGTCGCTTTGCGTATATAAAACGGCGCGTTTAAGTTAAAGGGATAGCACAAAATTAGAGCTCTGTCATAATTTATTCACACACATGTTGTTCCAAACCCGTATGACTTGCTTTTTTTGTGGCACACAAAACAAGATGTTAGTCTCGGTCACTATTCACTTTTTGCGCGTCTTTTTCCACGAAAGGAAAGTGAATGGCTGTCATTGTGCATAACATCTCCTTTTCCACGGAACAATTACAGTCATACATGCAGGCTTGAAACAACATGAGGGTGTGTAAATGATGACAGCATTTTAATTTCTGGGTAAATATTCATTTAAAAATAGATAAACTCTTGAAAAGTAGATAAACGCGTCTCGAGACCCCGTTCTGTGTCTACGCCCCCTAAAATGCTGTCTAGGCTGCTAGGTTTTGAGCCACGAGGGGAATTCTCGCTCATGCCTCAGTATTTGAGTCTGTTCTGCATTCGTTCGCGGTTTAAATTAAGAACTAGGTACGATTAGGTAACCGTGCTTGACGTTACAAGCTTATTAAACGCGTTCTCTTGTCAACTGATAAAACCGTATCCTGTGTAACCGTGCGTCGTTTTGCTAATGTAATGACATTCATGTGCGTTCACTGCGCGCAGTTTTCATCAGAACGTCATGCGCTGAATGTAATGCACTGAAATGTGTTCGGTAAACTTGACCTACAATATAACACTTTGCCTGGACGCTGGTTTGGTTAATGCAATTGTTGTTTACATCCCCGCGCTGTTAGGGGTGTTTCTCATTGCGTTGCGACAACCCTGAGAATACTGCAGCTTTAAATGGCTGCTTTGAGTACGCAGTATTTACAATGTATGTTGAATTGCACGATATTTGATATATGATTTGGCCTAATGTAATTGAATGAATGTTTTTTTTTAAACATTACTCTGTAAAATGTCAGATATTTAGTTTAGTTGTTTTTCCCCAACAGTAAAACTGTGAACTTGAAGTTGGCTAATGTACATTACCATTTAATCATGCTAAAAAACGGAGTAATTTCCATTTATTTATTTATTTTAGAATATCATTTGGATCCTTCTTTTACTTGTCTTGATAAAAATACCTGGTGTAAAAATTAGTGCTGTCAAACAATTAATCGCGATTAATCGCATCCAAAATAAATGTTTTTGTTTACATTATGTATGTATGTGTACTGTGTATATTTATTATGTATAAATAAATGCACACATATACAGTATATATTTAGAAAATTTTTACACGTTTATACATTTATATATTCATATTATATTTTATATTATATATAAATACATTTAATATATAAACATAACATATTTTTCTTAAATATATACATGCATGTGTTTGTATTTATATATACATAATAAATATACACAGTATACACACATTATGTAAACAAAAAAGTTTTTTTTAATCGCGATTAATCGTTTGACAGCACTAGTAAAAATATGTATTTATAATGTTTAGCTGGCAATACAAGTAAGAAACGCGTGCTTTGGAAGGATTCAGGTGCACAAAGTTTAAAGGGGTGGTTGATCAGCTTTTTTCCAAAGCTTGATTGTGTTTATGGGGTGCAGTGTAACGTGTTCATGCTTTGTTAAAAAAAAAAAAACCCATTATTTTCACATATTTTACCTTTATTCTACACCGCTGTTTCCATTCTCGTCAAAACGGTCTGTTGAGTTTCTGGTTCTATGAAGACCCTCCCTCAAAAATACGCAATGGGCTCTGATTGGTTAGCGGGCTTAGTGTGTTTGTGATTCGCTAACCGCCTAGTGCACGTTGTCTGGAAACGTCATGCCCCCTTACCATTATGGGTAGTTGTGTGTTCCCGGGGGTGGGGTTTATGTGAACATCGGGGTTAGTGATGTCACAAACCCAGGAAGAAGCTCGTTGTAGTCCCTACCAGCCGTTTTTTGTAGTCCTTAAACAGCGATTTCTTTAAAAGAAAATATCTCCCTTTGCATTGAACTCTGAGCGTCGTAACTTTGCAGACGTTGTTTATGCTCTAACAGCCAACATTACACACTTATCTAAAGTTCAAAAGGTGAAATCATAATCAACCACCCCTTTACATTTCAGTGCTATTTTATACTAAGCATAGAGAACATTTTTGTTGGTCCTTGTAATAAAGCAAATATCCATGCGAGATGTGCACTACAGTGATTTTAGCACAGGCAATCAGTATTAGCAAAAGCAGAGACACTAGTGTACATTAAATAGTTAAAGGATGATAAACAATTCTTATTGAATATATAGATCAATCAATATGTTAAATCATCAGGTAGAGTGATTTGGTCTTATTTGTGTAGCTTATAATTAGCTTGCATGAAGATTTATATCTCATTTAAGAACTGTACTTTCATGAGTTGACTGTTTTGAAATATGCAGACATCTGAGATTATTCATTTGATTGCTACATATGCACATGCTCATAACAGCAGCACGCAAGCCCTCCATGATTTATGAGAGGAGGTCATAGCAGATTAATGATATACTTTTATTGATTTTGATGATATTTGAATACTAATGTGTGAACTTTGAGGGGGAATTACCTTAAAACATTCTCATTGTGAAACTAGGCTAGTATATTTTCACACTCTCTGTGGGATTATGTGTGCAACTGTACATCTCTCCTCGTTTTACTTACTTTCACTGCTGCCCTCTCTGCACACAATCCAGAAACAATTATTTGCGGTAGAGTGCACATTTTCCCCTTACTCACACTTAGCATTCTCAAATATGTGTCATCTTGGTTTGTTGGTTGCTAAGATTAGTCTGTTACTTTCTGTGCATACTGAACAAATTACCTGCGGTTTGTTACACATTGTTTTATTATGTGCGCTAAACTGCTAATGTCACAGCTCGCCCAACCCTTAACAAGCCACCTTTCCCTTTCAAATTCTGTTCTCTAGGGCTCTATTCATGTCATTGCTGAAACAGCTATTTCAATAAACCCCCACTAAGCCCAAAGTACCGTCTCTGAAGGCTAACCATAATGTTTGTGACCGCTTTCTTCTCAGGTTGTCTCCAATGAATGAGCAACAAATTAACCTAAAGACTTCTCAACCCAGCTTGACATCCCGGAAGCAGAAGAGTTGGCAGTGAAGACGAAAGCAAATGGACATGTTTGAGCTACACCATGCTGAAGCTTCTATTTCTGCACAGGAGATGCTGCAATTTTTACTTTTAAAGCTTACATGCATTCCTACCATGTTGAGTAGATTTGGATGACCATTAAGTATCATAAAACCAGTTAAGGGTTCTTTGTCAAGAGCGATACTCTTAAGACTCTTCATCAAACCAGAGAAAGCTTTGTGTGGTTTGGGGATTTGAACTCTTGTCTCCTTAACCTCCCACTCCACCACTCCCCAGAATCTGTATTCATGAAAGTCATGAGTTTGCCACCTCAACAGAAACCAAACGCAAAGAGGACAGGCAAGCGCATCACTTTCTTTAACGATCCGGGTGTGGCGATGAAAGAGGCCTCTCAGCATTCAGAGGCCTACTATGGCATTGGGGACCCTCCCTCAGGGCCAGGCCATAATGACAGTGGAAGTGTGGAAAGTTTGAATTCAGAAGCACCACATACGTACCTCAATTCTGTCATTTTCAGCCCAGAGAAGGGTGATCAAAGCCGTGGGCACTACCAACAGATGATGCCCATGAAGTGGCCACATCAAGACCCATCTTTGCAGCCCCAACAGCGACCAAACAATTGGTCACAGGGTATGACAACTTGGACCCAGAACTTTGGCCCTTATTTGGAAGCTCAAACTGCTTTTGTAAAGCAGATGCATGAGGGCATGTCAGTACAACAGCAGCAGCAGCAACATAAGTCATCAACTATTAGGGCAAATGAAAAACAAGGAGCTAACATAAGTGTAGAGACCTTTAGGGATACAATCAAACCTGGCCGGGGCATGGATTGGGAACAGCAGCAAGCCTTTCAGCAAACACAAAAGCCTGGAATGTTAAATCCACAGCAGCACGGACAGTCCACCACTGGGAATTCCGTGTTGCAACCCTTTCAGGTAGCTTTTGGACAGCCCAAGCAGAACTTGGTATACTATCAGGCAGTTCAGGGCAATCGGACCTTGCCGAATTTGAATTACAGTACACAGACGAATTCCCAACTACAGCAGCAACTACAGCAACAGGAGCAACGGCGACAAATAATGCTTCAACAACGGCAGCAACAGCTGGAACAGCAGATACGACAACATGCGCAGCAGCAACAGGCACTTCAGCATCAAAAACAGCCACAACAGATGCCACAATTACAGTTACAGCAACAAGCACAGCAATTAAAACATACTCCGCAACAGCAACCACCACAACAACATATGCAACAGATTCAACCGCAACAAGACTTGGTGCAGCAGCAACAAAAGTCTGAGCAACCTCATCAGAACCAGCATGTATTGGAAAATTACTCTGATGGCCAGCAGCTACATGCTTCTTCACTTGATCAGCATCACCCCTCATTACCAGGACAGTCCCAAGAGACAACTGATCCCCCGTCAACACAGACTCAAGACTCTGTTCCTCAGCCTCCCACTAATGTTCCCCAGCGATCCATCGAGACCCAACAGCCTGGGCCCCGGAGATCACGCCGGCTTTCAAAAGAGGGTGGAGGCCCTGCTTCAGATAACCCATTTGTCATGCCGACTGATCTGCATAACCAAGACTCTCAGAACGGTACTTCTGAGACAAATGCTGTGCAAGACATCCGGGCCGCTCCAACAGGTGTAATCCAGAGCACACGACGTAAGAGGAGGGTGTCGCAAGAGGCCAACCTGGAAACCTTGGCTCAGAAGGCTTCGGAAAGGGAATCTCTTCCCTCACGTAGTGTCAAGGTAAGGCACCTGCCAGTTTTTCAGTCAAATATGTTGGAGAAATTAAAATACGTTTCAAGCAAGCAATTGTGGTTTTGCCAGTTCATTGTTATATACTGTAGTTAAGATGAAAAGTTGGTCTGTGACTTAAGGATGACAAATTACCCTTAGCCAAGGGAAGTTGACATCATTAACATCTGCTTAACACAGTGAGGATACACTACCGGTTTCAAATGCGTACAGGTTCTGCAGGTTTCTCAGTTGATAGGGGAGTGTAAAGTTAGTACATGCACTGACTGTCGCCATTAGGTCACATGATCTCTTGAGCCAAACAAAGGCTTTTCCACGCCACTATCTCCTGATGGACTCCTCATACAAATACCAGCAAGTGCACCCCACCCTCAGCCCACTGGCCCTCTTGAGGGTGTGTTAACATTGATGTACATATAGAGCTACATTTCCTTTTGTCGAAGTCCAAAAGCACAGCTCTGTGCATAGCTAATTTTGATTTTTGCAGTCCCATTGAGTCACTTCCGTTTTTTTTCTCTTTGGAATAGGAGATTAAGAGTTTTCATCCTATTGCAGTAGATGTTGCTTATATGGACTAGTGTTAATTGCTTGGTTTGTTCATTCTTTTATTGCACATAGAGAATTAGCACAATTAGCAGTCAAGTTTAACAAGGGGATCTAAGTGTTTTTGGGACATGCTATTTAGTTCACTCTGCTTTTCCTTGTTACATAAACTTCCTTTGAAAAAGACAGCAGCACACCCTTAAGACATCCATCCGATGATAACAAAGAAAGGGTGTGTGTACATATACTGTTGATCTGTGGGCCAGATAACATACAAAACTTAGAACGGTCCAGTAAAGAGACTGTAGTTAAAGCAACTCTTAGGTCAGCTGATTCCAGCTCCTTGAAAGGAATAGGTACACAATTCAGTGAGGTTTTTTTGGTCTCATGGTGATGACGGGTGTCACTTTATGCCTCTAAAACTCCCCTACTCTAAATTCAGGCTGAAAACAGCTCTTGCTCAAGGGTGAGTGACCTGTAAAGGCTTCATGTACTAAGCTGAATACCTTAGCGGTGCCAGTAAGGCCGGAGTTCAGATAAGACAGGCCACAGTGAATGGTGCCCCTGTTTTTGAAGCCGAAAAAACGGCATCCATCCATCATAAAATTACTCCACATGACTCTGGGGTGTTAATAAGGGCCTTCTGAAGTGAAAAGATGCGTTAGTGTAAGAAAAATATAGATTTTTTAAACATTTTTTTAAACCGTAATCTCCAGTTTCCGGTCACTCAAGCAGGCGCGTTCACGACAAGGCGTTCGAGTGTATGACGTAGGCGTAGTGGAAGGCGCAACGTAAGCTCTGGGGAGAAGAGTGTAGTCTTGCGAGAGTAAGCTCCGGGGAGAAGAGTGTAGTCTCACAAGAGTAAGCTCCGGGGAGAAGAGTGTAGTCTCGCGAGAGTAAGAAGTCCAAAAGCACAGCTCTGTGCATAGCTAATTTTGATTTTTGCAGTCCCATTGAGTCACTTCCGTTTTTTTTCTCTTTGGAATAGGAGATTAAGAGTTTTCATCCTATTGCAGTAGATGTTGCTTATATGGACTAGTGTTAATTGCTTGGTTTGTTCATTCTTTTATTGCACATAGAGAATTAGCACAATTAGCAGTCAAGTTTAACAAGGGGATCTAAGTGTTTTTGGGACATGCTATTTAGTTCACTCTGCTTTTCCTTGTTACATAAACTTCCTTTGAAAAAGACAGCAGCACACCCTTAAGACATCCATCCGATGATAACAAAGAAAGGGTGTGTGTACATATACTGTTGATCTGTGGGCCAGATAACATACAAAACTTAGAACGGTCCAGTAAAGAGACTGTAGTTAAAGCAACTCTTAGGTCAGCTGATTCCAGCTCCTTGAAAGGAATAGGTACACAATTCAGTGAGGTTTTTTTGGTCTCATGGTGATGACGGGTGTCACTTTATGCCTCTAAAACTCCCCTACTCTAAATTCAGGCTGAAAACAGCTCTTGCTCAAGGGTGAGTGACCTGTAAAGGCTTCATGTACTAAGCTGAATACCTTAGCGGTGCCAGTAAGGCCGGAGTTCAGATAAGACAGGCCACAGTGAATGGTGCCCCTGTTTTTGAAGCCGAAAAAACGGCATCCATCCATCATAAAATTACTCCACATGACTCTGGGGTGTTAATAAGGGCCTTCTGAAGTGAAAAGATGCGTTAGTGTAAGAAAAATATAGATTTTTTAAACATTTTTTTAAACCGTAATCTCCAGTTTCCGGTCACTCAAGCAGGCGCGTTCACGACAAGGCGTTCGAGTGTATGACGTAGGCGTAGTGGAAGGCGCAACGTAAGCTCTGGGGAGAAGAGTGTAGTCTTGCGAGAGTAAGCTCCGGGGAGAAGAGTGTAGTCTCACAAGAGTAAGCTCCGGGGAGAAGAGTGTAGTCTCACAAGAGTAAGCTCCGGGGAGAAGAGTGTAGTCTCACAAGAGTAAGCTCCGGGGAGAAGAGTGTAGTCTCACAAGAGTAAGCTCCGGGGAGAAGAGTGTAGTCTCACAAGAGTAAGCTCCGGGGAGAAGAGTGTAGTCTCGCGAGAGTAAGCTCCGGGGAGAAGAGTGTAGTCTCGCGAGAGTAAGCTCCGGGGACAAGAGTGTAGTCTCGCGAGAGTAAGCTCCGGGGACAAGAGTGTAGTTTGCCGAGAACCAAGTTTTGTTTACAGCACAGGGAAACCACGTGAACTTCATCTGTAGTTTTTGCCGCCGCCATTGCAGCATCCTCCATCTCACGGAGTTCCTGGTCGGTATACTCTGGTTCAAACAAATATGGCTGGGCAATAAAACTCATTCTCCTCTTGCCTTATATCGAAATCCTCCGACATTTTTGCTTTCTCCTCTGTGCTTTCGCGTTCGTCAATCTCTCCCCGGAGCTTACGTTGCTCTTTATACCTCCACCCAAACTTGGAACTTTTATTGCCCCACCGGTCTACTCCACTATCACACCTTACCAGAGTCACTTACGTTCACCTGTCCGATTGGTCGACAACCCCCTCAACATGCCGCCTTACACTCCCCCACCCATCCTCAGTCCAGTTCGAGAGGGTTCGGGTCTTTACTTTTCCACCTTCCTGTCGGCTGCCGCTGCAGCAGCAGCAAATAATCAGGGACTGCCCCCACCTGCCACTCCCAAATCTGCCACCCGCAGCCTCCTGCGCTCCAGTGAGTTCCTTGTACTATCTCTACAAAGTGCATTGATAAAATTCATTAAATACAACCTTAAATAGAGTTAAGTTAATCAGTGTTTAGAATTGAATGACTTGAAGTTGACAACCAAATGCAACCTAAAATCTAAACTTAAGTACTGTTCCAAAACCTAGTAGGCTACCTTCTAAGGAAAATGAAGTAGAATGAGCTGCCTACTGTTTGTAACAGCTTAAAGTGCTGTAAGTAGGCACCTCATTACGGTTTGGAACAGACTTAGTATACCTAAGATATATGTCCTAACAAGCCAGGATATATGTAATTAAACAAAATTGATGTGCATATCATGAATAGGAGGTCATTTAATAAGAAACACTGTTTACTTTGCATCTAAGTACAGTCTTTTTGTTTGTATATGTCCAGACAGCAGTGATATAACCCCTCCAGTTCTCTCTGCTATGAGTGAGGCTACACCTGTCAGCATTGAGCCGTAAGTACATACACTTATCAGATAACACCCCCACACATTACGCTTCAGAAATTTATTTCATTATCTTATGCTTCTGTCCAAATGATAACTTTCTTTACTTGGTTAACATTGCCTCTTTTATTTTGCTGCTTGCTTACTAGATTTCATTCAGCCGACTGAAAGTCAGTTGTCTGAATAGTTGATTGTTTCAACTCAATGGAGTAGCCCAGAAATCACTTTATTTTCGGTACAGTGCTGCAGCCATACACAGCTTAAACGTTGACAGTGTGAAAGCACAACGTGAGCCTGCTGTTGAAGATATGCTGCTGTTTTGTTTACACACTGCTAATGCATGTGGTGTAAACAGGCCTTATCGTGCTGTATACAATGTATTTTTGGCTATTGCTACAAATATACCCCAGTGACTTAAGACTGGTTTTGTGGTCCAGGGTCACATATTGCTATTATTTGATTGTAAGTTGTAAACTGTAGACTGCAGATGCACAATTCATGGTTATAGCTTGTATGTTAACAGTTAAGCTGGTTGGGGAGCTGTCATGTCATGCACAAGTCGGTCTGGTAGTGTGTTTAAGGGAAATGCCATCTCAGTGGGTTTCTTGGATCATACATGGGGTATTTCAGAGCTATTTTCTTAAGTACAGAGTAGGTGGGGGATGGTGGCTGACTGGTTCCAGCTGGTTTATCTAATGGTCAGAACAGTGTTCGGTTGAAATTCTTTCTCTCTTACATACTCAGACACGCTCTCTATGAATGGCTGCAGATCTCTTAATTTTGGAGTTGGCCAATGCACTACGAAAGCACATCCTGGAACAAAATAATAAAACACAATCTGTCTTGCCTTATCCCCAGACCTTGGCAGTCAGATACTGGAACATTTGGCTTTGAAAAACATGGGGTGTTAATTTTATGCAAATACCGATGGTCAAAATCGACTCTCATGAATCCTTGAGCTCTCAAAAAAAAAGAGCTGACAATGAGATGAGCAATAAATGAATTCAAACGGCAGTCTGAAACAACTTTGATAGTATTTGGTTCTGATTAGTGAACCTTTAGAAACCTATAGAATGACCTGAAGTGGAATGCAATTGTTTTTAGGAATTTCTCATTACATAGACATGTTTCAGTCGCAGCACTAAGTTGTGCCTCATGTTTTGCTTCCAGTACACTTTGAACCACAAATATTCCCCTTTAGCTAGCAGTGCTTGTGACCCCTGACCATGAAGCCTTCTGGAGATCTATCTTTGTAGTTTCTCAAAAAAATGTTCTTCAGGCTTTGCATGAACTTCATGTTAATGTTTCACTCAAATTGTTAAGCTAATAATAATAAAAAAAGTGAGTAAAAGTGTTCAAATAAAAGTATTTGATATTAGAAAAATGCAGAATAGAAAATTTTTTGCTAGTGGTCTGATTTAGTTTGGATTTCTGCAGCAGCCTGTTTATATTCACTCTCTCTTGCAGTCGTATAAACATTGGATTGCGGTATCAGGTGCAGGTCCCAGAGCTGAGAGAGCGCTCGGCAGCGCAGCACGACCTACACAAGGCTGAACTGTTGTGGGCGCCACTGCCTGACCTGGAGGCCAATACTGAGCAACAGCAAAGAGGTATACAACTTACACAATACCACGTTAATTTCCCTTTGTTTAATTCATTGAATTGAATTAAAGGAAGTTGCAGGAATATGTTCTGCAGGTTGCCTTATTTAAATTAAATCTGCATGACCATATGTTTAACTCCATGTCTTTCCTGGACCTTCTGTGTGTCCCTGCAGTGGATGACCTCATGCACCTGGCTTGCTCGAGTGCGTTGTGTGGAGGAGGGACCAATCAGGAACTGGCCATGCACTGCCTGTATGAATGCAAGGGTGACGTCATGGTGAGTGTTGAACAGTAGCACACTGGCATATTTTAAGTGCACTTCCTGCTGCCTTGTGTACCAGTCAAAGCTGTTTACGCCTGACTGCACCTTTTCTTAAACTGCTGATTAATAAGAGAGATAGATGAAGAGTTTGTCATATGAGTGGAATATATCTGAATTAGTTTTTTTATTTATTTATTTTTTGAGTCATCTAAGGATTTTTTGGTGACATCTGTGACAGGAAATATCAGTTTAGGGACTGTACTCATATTTGACTGAATTAAAAGGAAATTATGTGGAGTTATGAATTGCAAAGCCTGAAAAGACAAAGTGTTCATGTGAGTAATGTGTGCAAAAGCATTACACGCACTTGGAAAATGTAGTTTTTCTTTGAACAGCATTTTACCAGAGGCCATTCACATTCACATGCCAACATGCATATGACAAAGCTATTAATTTAAAGTTTCAAGGGGTCCAAGCTTTAAATTTACTTTCCAGTCAAAAAAAAAATGTTTGAAAGTACTAATGAATTCTCTCTGAGACTGCTAGGTTTTTTTTTTTTTTCAAAACAAATCAATTCACTTTGATTCACTTGATTATTTTGATTTATCTGAACAGCATATCATGTAATTGAATCTGTTTTGAATCAGTTGGCAGCCATGGTTTATTTATTTATGATAACTGATTTGCAACTGCGGCCTGCTAATTGATGACCCCTGTTTTATGAAAACACAAATGGTGCATGTGTTATGATACGATTCTTTTCAACGTTCGCTCAGCTGAGCCAGCAGCTGCAACAACACAACAGCCAGCCGCTTACTGCTGAGCTGTCATACCGCCGCCATAGCAACCACCTGTCAATCACAGGCTCATATCCAGAACGACACACTGAAGATGACTAAATCATGTGCGTTGTACTTCTGAGCCAAATCTCAGTCATGCTTGAGTTACACAGCAAAATAATAAGCTAATTGTTGGTTTGTGGTTCGTATCACATGTGAACCACTTCTGCAGAACCTGAAAGTTAGCTCAACTCTCTTAGACGTTTGTGGTGTTTATTGAGTGTCAGTGATAAGAGAGATGCACTGACAACTGGTTTCAGGTTGTTGCTTTTAATAGTTTGATCTTGTTGCATCTATGGTTTTGTAATTGCAAGTTGCAAGACCTTTAGTTGTTTGTTGCTTTGTGTTTCATGCAAATCAATCATTTGTGTTAGCCACTATTACATGGTCTTGAAGCAGATATTTTGACAGATTAATAGGTATGTCAGACAGTAATGGGGTTCAGCAGCAAATTTAAATCCCGAACAGATTGGCCCTGCGATGAAAGCTGTCATGTGTTATGAGTTATAACAGTGATTTTGGTTTTTGTTTTCAGAAATAACTTTGAGTTTGAGTTATAATATTTTGTAAGAGCATGAGTATAAACACGAGTCTGTAAAAGCCAACTAGATGTGTTTTCTTGCTCAGTGTCATGACATTTAATGTCTCTGACAAACTCTGTAGTCCATATGTTATTAATGGCCTTTTTCAGGACATGTACAAGTGCACATGCTTCAACATGTTGAACTTTGGTTGTCCAGATCATTAAAAGTTGAAAAAAGGCCATATATAAGAAAAAACTCAAGTTAGAGCTCGATGACCCAGAAAAGAGTGTGGTGTCCTCGATTTATCGCACCCTGAGAGACTGTATGGTGGAGAAAGGCAGAGAGAACAAGAGGGTTTATCCAGCGACTTGCACAGCTGGGTTAAACGCCTTCATCAAAAGCCTTTTACGCATGTTGTTAAGGATATAGCATTGGTCTTGCAGAATTGCATCTCTCCTGCCCTCATTAATCTCTTCATATCAACTCTAGGGCATAACATGACCTGACCTGTGTTTCTCTTACTTGTGACTATGTCTCTGCCGGTTTTGTTTCCTCAACCATGCTAATTTCACTTTATTTTTCATTTTTCAGGGAGCCCTCACCCTTCTGCTGTTAAAAAACCCCATGTTTCCCAAAGCGCACCCTCTGGCTGACTACCACTACTCTGGTAAGTCCCCTCACTGTCAAGCACACTTTCTTTCACACTTTTCTTTCACTCTTTTCTTTTTCTTTTTTGTTTGGCCAAGGTGATGTGAGTTATTCCATATGGCATGCGGTACCCCATCACCCCCTGCACTGGCATTCCAAACCATGCTCCGTGTCTCGGTTATAAACAAAAGCAGCTGAGTGGAGTACAGCGGAGGGGGGGTTCGACTGAGAGATTGCTGGGTGACTGAGTGGGTTGCTGGGTAGAGTACGGGAGGAAAGGAGGGGGAGTGTGTCTGTGGCATGTTGTTAAATCCTAGGAGAAGACAGCGGCATCATTGTTTGTCTGTACATGTGTGTGCTGGCTGTTTGCCCCCTCTCTGTCCTTTGTGTGTGAATGTGTTTGTGTTAGCGGGTGGGGGTGCTCTATAAGAGGATAGGCTAAACGGACACATCTGATTCCGTGCACCGCTTGTCTGTCCCACACAGGCTCTGACAGCTGGACACCAGAGGAACGACGTTTCTTCAACAAAGGCATTTCTGCCTACAAGAAGGACTTTTTCATGGTCCAGAAACTGGTACGTACAGGTTTGAACAAAAGCCTAACAATGAGTGTCAATCCCCCACACAAATCAAATTATGTGGCATGAAGAGAAAATGTCATATTTAGGTACATATATTATAGAGAGTTGGGTCCATTCCACTTTCTACTACTTAGTAACCACCTAGACCATCGTAGCAGCACTTTAACAGCAAACTACAACACCCTAGCAAGCACATAGCAATGCACTAAAACACTTAAAACATCCTAGCATTATCCTTACATCAACCTGTATCATCCTAGCAACACCTTCCAACTGGAAATCCCCAGCAGTTGCATGGCTATGCACTAAATTATGCTAGGAATTCCTTGGCAACCAAGCAGAAAATCCTAGCAATGCCTTAAAAAAACAAACAGAACACTCTAGCAACCACATAGCAATGCACTAAAACATTCTAGCAATAGCAATAGTCTAACGTCCACCTGAAAAATCCTAGCCAGTGCTGGGTAGATTACTTACAAATTGTAATCCATTACTGATTCCAAATTACATGACAAAAATTGTAGTTAGTAGTATAATCCATTACATTACACATTTTAGGTAATATAATTAGACTACTTTCTGATTACCTTTGGATTACTTATCTAACTTGTTTTTTCTCATTGATTTAAATATGATAAACTTGTACCATATTTAGTGCTGTGCAATTCATCGGCAATGAATCGCCTGCGATTTTGAACACGATTTTGCATAGCTTGTCAGTTATCTATGGCTCTGTGTAGTAAATGCCGCTCCATCTGAAAGCACGTGCTGGAGATTTACTACTAATCACCAGAAGCGGCTTTACTGACGAGATTCGCATGAAAATCGCATTCGATTTTTTGCCCAGCCCTAACCATATTCCTATAAAAATACAAAGATAAGGAAAATATATTCCATTTGTTGTTTTTAACAACGTGTAATGCATTAAACTTTACATTATGTGAAGGTTTCCCAAACTGGAGTCTGTGAAGGAACTGAAAATTTATCTAAATAATTTTAAAATAACAATCAAAATAAAATATCTTACAAAATACTTACAAAATTAAACATCCTGTCATCCTAGCAAACAAATAGAACACTCTAGCAACCAGTGAGAAAATTTTCAAACAGAGGTTCTAAAACACTCAGAACACCTTAGCAACGGCATAGCATCACCCTAGCAACCACCACTGACAGCCTAGCATTATGACGGCAAGTTTTGCATGGGTTACAGTTCTAGTGAATTCTGGTAATGCTGAATTGTGTTGACGTTTGACTTGAAGTTGAGCTCCAAGACAGTGGCTCAGTGTGTGGAGTTCTACTACACGTATAAGAAGCAGGTGAAGATCGGCAGGAACGGTACACTCCTTTACGGAGAAGCAGAGCCACCAGAGACTAAACCCACAACAGAGGAGGAAGTGGACAATAAAGTGAGTTCCTGTGGCTTTTGTGTCTACATGATCCTGGATGATTTAATGGCCTACAAACCAGTGAAGCATCAAAATGTTTTTTCTCCTTCAGAGTTCACAGAAGTTTGAATCACGGAAAGAAGACGAGGAGAGCAGGAAGTGGGAAGGGTCATGTGACAGGAAACAAGAAAACAGCCCGGGCAGGGTAACACAATCGCTACAGGCCACTGAAAATGTGAGTTGGGCGGGGGGTTGATTTGCATGAGGTTGCAAAAACACATGGTGTCTATAGAAAATTTATTTCATATATATCCCGGTACACATGCAATAGTCATGTGTACTTCAGCACTGTAGGCTATTTATAGTGCCATCTAATTGTATACCTCTTTACAAGCTTAAATGGTTTATCCAGTGCATAATGCACTTAGTATAGCACACTCATTAGAGACCGTACTGCTGGAGTAACCTGCAGTTTACTTGCTGAAGCGCACAATGGTGAACTATTACCAGATCTCTTTCACTGCACCACCTCTCAGTTACCACAGTGGAAGTTCCCTTTGTCTAATATCTGTATGCATTCAGCTGTGGTTGCTTTAAGTAATCATTTGTTTCCTGTTAGGCTGCTGCCGTCTTGGTTTTAAGAAGTCAGGAGAACAGCGCTAGAGATCCGTCCATGTTGGGGGTCAGTCATCCTCCTCCTCCACCTCCACCACCACCATCTAAACACCGCTCCGACACCACAGGCCGGAAAAACACTGGCAATACAGGAAAGGGACAAACAAACCAAGAGGGTGAATTCCCCTGCAAGAAGTGTGGCAGGTCAGTTTATTGGGATACACACTCAATTTATGCAATTTACTAATGATAATAGTGTAACACATTTTTTGTTTATTATTTACCTTATTTTATTTACTTAAGCTTATCTTTTATTTATTTTAGTTTTCCCTTAATTTAAAATGTTTGCTTATTTATGTATTTATTTATTTACTTATTCATTCACTCATCAATTTAACTATTTATTTATTTAAAGTTACCTTATTTTATTTAAATTGTACCTTACTTTATTAAAATGTACGTTTTATTCATTTATTTATTTAACCAATTATTCATTTATTTTACATTTACCCTGCATTTGTTTATTTTTATTTCATTATTTATTTTAAATTTACCTTATTTTTTTTACCATAATCAATTAATTATTGTATTTATTTACGAATTTTATCCCTGTTGTTCTATGACATTAAATTTATTAATGGCATAGTTTATTACCTTCTCCAAACTTTACAATGTGAGCTACAGTGTTGGGGAGTAATTAACTAAAAGTTGTAACACTACTAACTTAACCACATTTTTCAGTATTGTGACGGTAGTTCACAACAGTGTAACAGTAACAAGTTAGTTTCTCCAACGAGTAGCATGTAGCTTGACAAAACATTTTAGTTTTCTTGTGTGTTCAGCTTCACAGTCAAGCAAACTGAGGTAATAAATCAAAACACACTTACAAAGGCCTTTTTCACCTATGTAGCTTGGGAAAGATTCATTTCAGTGAATCTGTTCATTTAGATGGTTCCTGTAAATGAACCTGTTCAAAAATGATTCACAGATTCAGTTGCTGGACAGAAGCCCTTTAAGTTAAAGGTGGGGTAAGCGATTTCTGGTAGCCACTGTTGACATTTGAAATCACCAAAACAAACACTCCCCTACCCCAAAAGGGTCTCGCCCCTATTTTGATAGCTCCGCCCCACACATACGTACGCAAACCAGGCAACGATTAGTTCTGTGAAACAAAGCAAAACCAATGTTACACCGTGTCTACACCGGACGCAAGTGGCTCGGCGCGACAAAATACTATAGAACTCATTATAATCAGTGATGCTGTCTACACCATAGATATATATACATTTCTATGGTCTACACTGGATGCGGCGCAGCACAACACGACAAATCCCCGACAGAAAACTGCTGCTGTGTTCTATTCATGACGTATTGACACAAATTTCTAATGATTTTCAATGGTCGCTTTGTCGCGTCCAGTGTACTAGACAGACAGTGTACTAGACAGACTTTAGCTGTTGCGGCGCAGACACGGTGTTAATCACATATCGAGAAGAAACAAAGCAACCTCGGCGTCCGATCGCAGGCCTTCCGCTCCTTGAGTTCTCTCCAGCGCTGGAAAGCTGATTCGATATTTACACGGGTCCTACTTCTTGCCTTATTGCCATAAGCCTTCTTTTGTTCCGCAGACGTTTTCCTCTTTTGTTTTTTTATCCACCATCTCTATCTTTCTGTCGCTCGGCACACTAATGTAAGCACTAAACGCTCTCTCCTCCACATCACGAGTAGACACGCCCCTTACTGCTGATTGGCTACAAGTTTGTTTTGCTATTCGGCCCGAATCAGTTTTCTAAAGCGTTTTTGAAAAATCGATTACCCCACCTTTAAATGCTGCTGTTCATCAGTTTTTAGTGACATAAATTAGGATTTTTTTACTTTGTACAAACATATTGTTTTTGTTCCAGATAAATACTTTATGAAAATAAAATAAATTGAGTTATATATGCTGAAGTTTCAAAAACTAGCTTTCTCAACACTGGTGAGTTGTGCATATCACTAGACGACACGCACTGGCAGTGTGGTCCTTTCATGCAGCTGATATATAGCTGCTCATAAAAAGACCAGGGGTCTTCCGAGGAATCAGTAAAGCTTGGCGGCTCTTAGGTGTTACATGCGTCAGGGATCAGTCTAGTAGTAAGCAGTAAAAAGGCAACATCTGATTTTGATTGGAGATTTTATCCATGGCAACAGTCGGTTTGTTAAAATCAACAGTCTCTTAGCAACCAAGTCCATGGAGATGTTGAATGCCACATTCCCTGATCCGTACATATCAGCGTGTGTGTGTGATTTCAATACACACGTGTGCTCTTTTATCTTCTACTAAGAAGTACTGTGGCAGTATCTGGATTATCACCATATTCATATACCATGGTACTCCGAGGTCTTTGAGAATGCTATTGTATAATCGAGGAGCCAGTATTTATGGTGAATTAATGTACAAATGTACAAATGAATTGTATGTTCACAAAAAATTACTTGTATTGTTCCAAACTTTCTTAAACACGAAAACATGTATTATAATATACCACAAAAACAACACTAAAGAAGTGACTTGTGCTGTGTATTCCAAGTTATCTGAAGTCATATTATAGCTTTCTGTAAGAAACAAACCAAATTTGTCATTTCACTAAAATTTTTGACTGGCCCATGACTATCCTTGGCAATTTCAAGAGAAAAGTAGCATGTTTGATTCATGAACAAATCATTCTTTTGAGTCGAATCTGTTTTAAGATTTGGTTGATCCAGTTCACAAAACCCTTCTGAATAATGCGTTCACAAAGCCGGCTGATTTCGTTCTCACGTTCAATCATTGAATGTATATTCTGCTCACCTGATTTGTGAACAAATCAATTATTTTTAGTCAGATCTTTGCAATGAATCAGTTGATCCAGTTTACAAAACCGGTTTGAGTGATTCATTCACGATTCCGGCTAATCAGGTGCTCTTGGTGATCTGCATGTCTGATTTGTGAACAAATCATTCATTTTACTCAGCTTTTTGCAATGAATGTGTTTATCCAGAACCTGTCTGTGTGTTATATTCACAACTCTGACTAAACAGTTTCTTTAGTTCAGCTTACTGGCTCAGTGACCTGCGTGTCCAATTTGTGAATGAATCATTCTTTTGTGTTAAATGCAATGAATCGGTTGAATCAGTTTAAATGATTTGCAGTCGGTGAGTTGAACCAGATATGTCATCACATGTTCATTGGATCAGTTAATATAGTCCACAAAATCTGATCTAGTTCTTGAGTTCAAATCACTGACCTAAAGATCTGAGCACTGTGTTTTCACCAGGATCTTCTATAAAGTGAAGAGCCGCAGTGCCCACATGAAGAGTCACGCTGAGGCAGAGAAAAAAGCGGCTGCGCTCCGGCAGAGGGAGGCCGAGCAGCAGGCGGCAGCCGCCATGTTGGCCGCTCAGCAGAACGGAGCGATGGGGGATCGGAGCAGAACGAGGAGAGCCAGCAGCGATGACTCCTCAGAGGAAGAGGAGGATGCAGATGATGAAGACTGGCGCTAGCTAACAATCTGTTTCGTATGGCCAAGAAAAAACCTATTTATTGTTAGTTTACCAGCCAACAAGACCCATCCCAAAAGAACAGTTTCAGGGACTGGCTCACTCCCGTAGAGTGTTTGTGTGAGTGCGTATGTGTGTTACGTGTATATGAGACGGACAAAGACGGAGACCAGTGCTGTAGAAGCATTCAGGGGCTTAATGTTCAGACATAGGGCTATTGGGAGTGTAAGCCATCTCAGTGTGAATGTGTGCGTGTGTCTATAATATGCACTTTCGGACTCATCCAACACACACTGATCTGACTGCGCGCAGCACATCTATCCAGTGTCTGTGCACAGAACTCACTCACTGTTCTCCTGTGAAACAAACCATTATGGATTCAGTGCTGTGGACGTAAAGGGACATAGAAGCAAGTGTGTGTGTGTGTTTAGTCTTTTCCTCCTTTTTTCGAAATGAAAACGACGGTATCTTTCTCTTCCACGTGACTGCCAAACGCTTGCACAACTGTGCTTGTACGCCTGGTCTTGATCTCCAGTGCTGTAATTTTATGCTTTCTGTTTTGAGTATCGTAAAGGTAAAGTTAATCCGAAATGGAAAATTCTGTCGTTTTCTCAACCATGTGACATTCTAAACATTAAATTTTTTTTTACTTCAGAACACAAAATGAGATTTAGCAGAATGTTCATGCTGTTCTTTCTCAAATGTTGCCTAAGGGCTTTCAATCTTTAAAAAGGACAAATATAAAACATCATAAAAGTGCACCAAAGAACTTTTACGCTATAATATTCCAAGTCTTATGAATAGATTTGTCTAAGAAACGGAAAGAAATCTCAACTCCTCTTGACAGTGTTATTTAAAACAAACACTATTAAAAATCATTTCCTTCCATTGATAAAGCTAAAGTAAAGTTATATATTAGATGAAAAAATTAAAAATTGTGTAAACAAAAATGACTAAAACTAAACCTGAAATTAAAGATAAATATATAACTAAATATAAATCTAAAAGATAAATATAAATATATAAAAAATTAAGAATGACAAAAATGTAACAAAATTACTAACACAAACTAAAATTGAAATGTAAACTGAAAATATAAAAACAAAAAGGTAATTCAAAATATTAATGAATACAATACTTACATAGTACTATAATATATTATACAATGGTATATTAATTATACTGAAATAACACCGCAGGGTACCAACTTTATGTATATGCACACGTGGGTGGTATTTTTAATGAATAATGACTTCATTTAATATTTTTTAATCACAAATTTATCGTATGACACCAAAAGACTATATATATATATATATATATATATATATATATATACAGTGCACGAGTTGAATAGACATTTTATGGTGCTTTTTTAAAAACTTTTTAGAGCTTGACAGTAGCCCTATTGGTACTATATACTTTAATTTCATGATCAGCCTGAACGTTCTGCTTAACGTCTCCTTTTGGTGTTCGCCGTATAGAAAGTCTTACAGGTTTGGAAAAGCATGAGAGTAAATGATGCTAGCATTTTTAATTTCGAATGAACTATTCCTTTAATTAAAACGGTGACCTCGCTGATGCCTTCGATGTTTTTGACACTTTCTATCTTTACGTGACAATCACTTTTACAAAGGTTCTTTTTATACTCTGCAGATTATAATGGTTGTGCTTGATATAATCATTTATTGTTATTATCATTACTGTTACTATTAGCTTTGTACTGTTTTATTATGATTGTTGTTTTTCAGGAGGAGGGAAGGGGTGGAATTCTTTTTCTCATTTGACTTTGTTTTAGATATTTGCTACCTGTGTGCGAGTGAAGATTGCATATATTTGCTGAAAGCATGATTATAAAATCGCACTGTAAGTGCAATAGCAATAGTGGGACTTTTGAGTTCCCTCCCACTCCACTTTTTTTATTCTTAGCATCTTTGAACAAAAGTATTAGATAATCAATTTATATTTTAGTGTGAGAACAAATGTGAGATGTGATGGTTGGTGAGTTTAAGGGCAGTTGCGAGCAGCTCGGGTTTCTATCTCTCTATTGGCCAAACACTTAAGCGCTTGGCTTTGTCTCCATGGCAACAAAGAGTCTTCTTTTAAAGGATAGGCACATGGGGGATTCACAGCCAACAGTAAAGGCTCCAGTTATTGCTAATAACACAGAATTCTTCTATGCAGCGCGTGAGTGTGTGAGCTCGTATGCACGTGCGAATGCATGTGTGTTTGTGTTAATTTGCATGGGTGTGCATGTTGATGCACCAATATTCGAAACTCTTTAAAACTCAAAGCCAAGTGAGAAAAAGAAGCTTCCTTGACTATTTAATGTCTTTTTTTATTTAAAAAAAAAAAAAAATATATATATTATATATAGACTTGTTCATACATGTGAAAAGACTGATTGGCTCTAATATGAAGATATGGGCATTTGTAGAAATGATTTAGCCAAGCTTTTTTGTTATTGTTGTTGTTGAGATTAATATTGAAATTTTTATTTGGGGAATGTCATAAGGGTGCACCTCCCGTTTCTGTCTTTCATTCAGCCAAGGGAAATTCTTCTGTAGAGGAATACAAAATATGAAAAAGGCTTCTAAAACTGTATGCACACTTTCTATGCTATTTTCATAGGGGCTTGTAAACTAATGATGGCTGTGGAAAGAACTCTGAAGTGCTTTTTAGTACAGTATAACTTATTGTGTTTCAGTTGTGTTTTTATCATGTGTTTTAGAGCAGGGGTGTCAAACTCAGTTCCTGGAGGGCCGGAGAACTGCAGAGTTTAGTTCTAACCCTGCTCCAACACTCCTCATACCATGTAGTTTTAAAATAAACCTGAATGACTTGATTAGTTGGATCAGGTGTGTTTAATTAGGGTTGAATCTAAACTCTGCAGGGCTTCGGCCCTCCAGGAATTGAGTTTGACACCCCTGTTTTAGAGTAATAAATAAGGAAAAAAACACAATAAACATGACAATATTTGTAACAGTATTTGGAGAGGACAAGTGTGTTTTAATTGGTCAAATGATGGCTAGAGGAACAAAAATAATTCTAATAATAAAAAAAGTTCAAAACAATAATTTAATATTTATTCAGAATTGTTCAAAGTTGTCTATGGACCACACTGAATGTCCACAGTATATATATATATATATATATATATAATAATTTGTTAATTAAAAGAAGGATTAAAAGAAATAAGCAAGGGTGATTCAAATGAGTTTTTATATAAATTTTACAAGTCAAATGATAGCTAGATTTTACTACTTTACTTATACTAGATTTTCTACTTTACTATACTAACATTGTAATATTGGTAATCAAACACAACGAAACGACGGTCAACTTTTATTTATTTATTTTATTTTTTTTGCCTGCCATTGGGTGGCGCCAACATCTGCCAAATAATCCTCCATGTGCTCTTGGTTGTTTCTGTTTTTAGCATCCATGCAGGAAACTAATGTAATTTTGTCCAGGACTTTCAGATAAACAAATAAAGCGAAGATTCATCTAGCTAAATATGTGCAAACAATTCAGAGTAACACTAACAAATATGTCATTTTACGCATTCAAATCCAAGGCTAGGCCTGCATTCCAGAGTTGTATTTAGCTATGCACACATATGCAAACTGGCAGAACAAACTTTGCCTCCAAAACTAAACGATTTTTCATGAGAAAGAAATGTTGAGAGCATGTAAACGCCACCTGCACACCACTCATTTACTGACCCGAGCCACCAATCACACATCTACCACATACTGTTTTTTGATGCAGTGATGAGAAACGTCTCGAGGTGTGCTGACTGCTGCTGCGGTACAGTGATATTTCAGGGCTGTAGGTAAAGAACTGACTGATGTGTTTCAAAGTAAGCAGCAGGGGACTTTGGGACAGACAGACGAGAACAGGAGGTGGTTTCGTTCACATTCTCACTCCCTTCTCATCCTACTTGGAAGAGATGCAGAGATAAAATGGCCAACATTATCTCTGTAGAGAGAAGATTGTCGTTTTTTACAATCTTAGACAACATATGGAAGCGATCAGAGGGGATCAGTTTTGTCTTCTAGAAGGACACACAAAGGACTGAGTTTGCACTATCTGTGTGTTTGGAGGAAATTCCACCGGGCCGTTTGTAACGGATGTGATAGGTTTGTTCATTCATCAATGGAAAGCCAGCAAATCATGAGCCCCATCGGTTCGGCCTGGTGTCCCTCAGGGTGATGGGAGTACCAATACAGGAGAGATGTTTACAGGTTTGAGACTTCATGGCCCTGTGATTTACTGTAAAGCTGTGGAATCACGTTAGAAATGTATATGCAGGAAGAGCTGCGTTAAAAAAAAACCTGATACAGATTCACTTAACAGATGTTTGATGAATCTCCTGGGTGAATCTCAGGAAAATTTGTGGTCAGGTCACATTTCACCCAAAATCAAAAAGAAAAAAAAAAACATTAATATTTACACAGTTATAACCATTAAGATTGATTGATTGATTGATTTACGAGTTTTTTTAATGTTTTTTATTTATTTGTAGTAGTAATTCTCATTACTTTCATTACATATATTTTTTTATAGAAATCAGATTATATTAACGTAAGTTCAGCAAATACACAATGCTTTAAAATGCATTAATACAATGCATAAATAATATAATAATAATAATTATTTTATTTTTCCAAGATCAATCAAAAGTAAAAACTCAATATAAAGGACATAATAAGACTCTTCATTTTCACATATATCAAAATACCTGTCCTCATATTAATAAATAAATAATATGTATAAAAAATGTTCCCTTACTGTAATAAAAATTAGATTTTTCTTGCATGGCAGTAATCCAAAATGAGGGCGAAATTTGTGGTTTTATCATGTCACAGTTTAAAACAATATAAAAACATATTAAAAAAAACCCTCACTGGTCCTACAAATATGCTTTATTTACTGTAAGTAAATACAATTTACTTACATTGTCTTATTTTTGACACGTTTATAAGATTCCTCCACCTTTGTCCAGAAAATATCATGTTCACTATTGCTATTAAAATGAAGCTATGCAATGATACACAACATAATAATATACACTGAGTGATAATTAGTTGCTTGCTTGTGTGTATGCGTGTGTGTGTGTGTGTGTGTGTGTGTGTGTGTGTGTGTGTGTGTGTGTGTGTGTGTGTGTGTGTGTGTGTGTGTGTGTGTGTGTGTGTGTGTGTGTGTGTGTGTGTGTGTGTGTGTGTGTGTGTGTGTGTGTGTGTGTGTGTGTGTGTGTGTGTGTGTGTGTGTGTGTGTGTGTGTGTGTGTGTGTGTGTGTGTGTGTGTGTGTGTGTGCGCACATTTTGTGGCCACAGAGTAACCTCTCTTAGTAATTAACTTAACAGACACATTGCATCTTGGGAGGAAAATCTCAGAAGGTAGTGAACCAGAGGCAAAGACTTACAGTTAATTCCCTTTTATATTTACAACTAGCCCCATAATGTATTCGTGTGTGTGTGTGTGTGTGTGTGTGTGTGTGTGTGTGCGCACATTTTGTGGCCACAGAGTAACCTCTCTTAGTAATTAACTTAACAGACACATTGCATCTTGGGAGGAAAATCTCAGAAGGTAGTGAACCAGAGGCAAAGACTTACAGTTAATTCCCTTTTATATTTACAACTAGCCCCATAATTATAGTGTAATCT